CACAACCTTAAGAATAGGAAGGACTTATAACAAAAAAGAGTGTAACTACTCTTTGATTACGGAATTGATTAACCAGAAAGGGTGTAGCAGTCTTACACTTCAATTTAGTTGCCTTGTACGAACATATATTTTCATTTCATCCACCGGATTTTATATCAAATTTCTTTTCTTGTTTGTCTAAAAGAATAGTCACTTTTCTTGAAGCAATAAATTTGGGATTCATTTTGTTTCTCTCTCATTAGCACAAATGTCTACCACACATTTTTACTTTTTTATTTCACTCAACATAAAATTGGTGAAATCCAATTAAATGAAGGTAACATATATACTTCATCCGTTCTAATATAGTATTGCCACTTTGAATTGCTTGTACAGATTTTGAGTAAAATTTATAGGGAAATTTATCTATATATTACTAAAACTCATGTTAATTCCCATAATATGATTAACCATAATTTTTTTACCTTTAATTTGTATGACTAGAACGTGCAAATCACTGTACATGCAAATCACTTTCATAATTTTAGGATGAACTGGTTACTTGTTAAAATTGAGTTAATGGTGGAATTAAATAAAGATTAAGAAATACGAGAATGACCATGCACCCTATTTACGTATGATAATAGGAAAAAAAACTCATGGAGTCATATATTGGGAAACATAGCTTCTTTTAGTCTTAAGAGAGATAAATATCTCAAATTTATATTCACTCTTTGACTTCCCCATATGGCCATATGATCCTTTTTATCATGTGGTAAATTCTAATATTCACAATTTAGTGTTCGTGAATGATAAATTTGACAATTTTTAGAAAAGCGCTTGTGTACTTCGCATTCTCCTTTAACACACTTAAAATATGAGCCTTAGACCACTTGGAGTGGTGAAATATTAGGAGTCCAAAATGTTAAAGATGGAAATTTTGGACTCCTAATTTCATTTAGTGGTGTGTTATAGAGGGTAATAAAAGTGGGTAAGGGGATGGAGGGGTGTAAAAATAAAGGGAGGGTTGACATGGGAAAAGAAAAAGAAAAAGAAAAAAAAGTAGGCCGGGTCACCAAAACAATTCCCCACACAACCCAAAAGAAAGTTGTCGGAAACTCTTGCCCAGACGAAGCTGGCCGGGTCACCAAAACTATTCCCCACACCGAGACAGCCAAAACAACTCGGAGCCTGAGTGCCATGGAAAGAACCGCCACAACACAGAACAAACACAATCAGAAAAGAAGAAATTGTGATGTATATACATATGTATAAATATTTATAAGTATTAAAAAATTTATTGAAAATTTAAGTTTTGGTTCCGCTATATAAATTCTTAAAGCCACAGCCCCTTAACCTGTCACTGTACTCCTGGCTCCGCCAGTGGTCGTATATTGCTAAAACTCAAATTTGTCCTCATGTATAAATATCTATAAATATGTCTCAATATATGTGCTGTATCTATCTATATTAAAAAATACAGTATACTCCCCTAATTAGCTCCGCCATAAAACGTAACGTGCAGTGGTCAAATTAAAGTTATGTAAAATATGAAGATAAAATAAGAAAGTAAAATTAAGAAATTTAATTTTGTACAGAGGATATATAGATAAACAAGAACCAGAATTTTATTAACTGAAAAGAAAATGATACTCCGTAATTTTTTTGTACGATAAAATTTGCAAAAAATGATGAGACACAGAGAATATGTTTGAAACTATTTCCGTATTCCAGTATCTATTCTTGTGGAACATAAATAAGTGCAGAGTAACTCATCATATTCCAGCAACTTTCCATGATGTGAATGCAATAATTGGCGGGGATGCTAAGCTAGAACAGATTGAAGCTGATCGAAAACATGAATCCATCCCCTCCATGCCGGAAATTGTTCCATTGTATCAACATGGCGAGGCATAGTGGGGATTATTTTATTCTGATTTCCGCCGGCCCCACCTAAGCTATCCCACAAATTAAAGTACGTGATGTTTCAATAATAATACTTTACATTGGGTAGAAATTATAGCTTTCCAAAACAAAGAAAAGGCATATCAATTCTTAGAGAGAATCGCCTTACCGTTTTTGGTATAATCATGAGGTAGGCAAATGCTAACCTAGATTAGCTTATTTAAGCACTTAAGCTTAAGCATATATAAATGCATTATATTAAGAATGGTCAAATTGAAAAGGATCGAATTGTACAAGATAGCTGTCAAAGGACAAAGATGCTCCTTTGGTTATTTTAAATATTTTTAATGGGGAGAACTTTTAAATTATGTAAAGGGGTTATTGAGTTATTCCCCAATGATGTGTGTTTTCTCGCACTTAAAATGATGTAGTAAAATGGTGTAAAGTACGAGTATCGTCTCCACAGGGACGGACAAAAGGGAAATAAAGATTAACTAAACTTTAGCGATTAAAAAGAAAAAAATAAAATAAAAAAATGCAATTGTGCGAGATTGGTTGATTGATTGAAATAAAACTAATGCTAATGAGCGAATAAAAATAAAAGATTGGTTTCTTCTCAATTAACGACGAAGGGAACAGGGATTGATTCCGGGGTAACCAGATTTCTGGCAGATCAGGCCTAATTACATGAATTTAATTTAATTGAGCCTAGCTAATCATTACTAAGTTCTTACCGCTCTCGCGGCGTAGAGTACAATAATTTAGGGGACCAGGCTGATCTCTCATGCGACAGGATCCTAAATTATTGCCAAGACGAGCGAGCTTACGGCCCCTTAATCGCTACTAATCTCTTAGCGAACGATTAAGTGTGTGTGAATGTGTCCTAGAACAAATTAGATCTCTCTTAATTCATTCTACATGCAATTGTAATTCTAGCTGCAGTCTAGGTTACAAGAGATATCAATTAAATTATTCAAACACAAATTAAACGGCATTCATGCAATTAAACCGACAAGAATCTAGCCATCAATCATGAATAACCCCCTTCATCAATCCCAAATCCCTAATTAAACTACTCACAATTCATAATTGAAGAATCAACAGAATTGGGATGAATGGAAATAATTGTCATTAATTAAAAAGATGAACTTACAAATAATCCCAGGGTCTTGGAAGAAAATAGCGTAAAAACGGTGTTAAATTCGTCCCTAGGCCTCTCCGTAATGTTCGTAACCCCCAAAAGGGTTAGAGAGGCCTTATTTATAGAAAAAGGATGAAAAATACGAATTTGGGTCGATTTGGGATTTAATTTCGCGTAACCCGGGTCTACGCACGGCGTGCGTCCCCCCTACGCACGGCCGTGCGTAGCTGGCAGTAGCTACCTTGCTTTTCTTGCCTTAGACGCACGGTCGTGCGTTCCCCTACGCACGGCGTGCGTAAAACTTCCGAATTTGACAAAACTTCCTTCATGAAAGTTGTAGATAATGAAGTCTTCTATCCACCCCAATTTGCCGAATGTGATTTGAATCATCCAATCAAGAGATATGATCCAAACGGTGGAAGGTGTCATTCTGAGATCGCAGCAGAGATCATCTGACTTCATAGTCTGTTTTCATCTTCTTCCTCTCAGATTCTAGGAATGATGTCTTCATATGATTTGTAGCTATTGAAGTTGGCTTTCATGTGGACTTTGAATCGTGTTCTTTGGATGCTTATACAAAGAGATATGCTTGAACGATTGACCAAAGGTCATCCTGAATGCCGTTTTCAAGCTTCATTCATCTTCTTTTTGATCCCATAGCCAATCCTAGAGCTCTTTTGTCATTAAATCTTCATCGTAAACCTACCGGTGACCTCCATAGCTCTCAAATCAACACTCAAATGCATCTCGAATCATCCCGATTGCTCCTCAAGTGCCGATGTTGAACTCTAAAATCCTGATTTTGACTCCAAATGACACAAAACTCGAACCAACGCCTGTTAAACATAACTTGAGCTAAAATTGAGACTTGTAACACCTTAAAGCTAGGAAAACCATCAAAATTCGATCCCAACACGCATCAAATGCGTGTCTAAATACGGACTTATCACCCAAATAGGAGTAAATAAATGTAAAATTGGCAAAATTGAAGTAAAGTTTGATGTGTAGTTGGCCAAAATACTCCTAAAGCTTGGTCATCCCTACTCTCGACTACAGACCTCAGGTCGTCGCCGTTGCAGCTGCAAACTGCACCACCATTGCAGATCTGGCCGTCAATGTCATTATTGTAGATCTGGAGCGATAGCAGAGCTTTGCCATCACCACTATCGGACTGCTCGTCAGCACTGAACTGATCCTTCTACCAACGTATTGACTTTGGTTATACAATGCAATTAGGAGACAATTATTGATATTAGGAAGATGAATTTGGAACCAAAGACCTATTTTAGTACTCCGATTCATATAAAAATATACTTACTCCTATTTAGGAATTTAAGCAATAATAATGTATTGAAATAGTGAAAAAATGAATTTGACATAGGTTACCAATTCAACTTTAAACTTTCCATTCAAGGTGTACGGTTCATTGATAAAGTTATAAGCCAACTACGCCATGATATCATTTTTGAAATTTGTCTCAACCAAGGATAAATGAAGAGAATTTACTATAAGCGTGTGACGACTAACAGTATCATTTAGTCACGTCATATGATATAATTTGATATTTGATAAGATGAATTTAATCCAACCCTAGAATCTTTTGAGAATAAAATTTGGATGTCTTTGTATTCATCCATCATCATATATTGGTTTTACAATACTCATGGAATATATAATTAGTGGTAAAAGGCACAAAGTTAGTCATAATTACAATTTTTTTAATTATCTTTTGACTAGTAATACTACGTATTTCAATAACATTTCCAATGAGGTAAACATATATTCTCACAACCTAGGTTGTTTTTTCATGTTTATTCATCTAAACGAGCACAACAATATTTCATATATGTCGTTATGGGTGTTAGAAGAATGAGTGGTCCACCTACAACCTTGGGTTGACTTTAGGTCAATTGACTCTTTTTCCAACTAATTGTATTATACTGTAACAAACTTATTTTCTTAACAAATACTCAAACATGCATGCAGGTTCCCTCACCCTCCTTTAATCATTTCTTCTTCAATTCTTAATTCGTCATATCTCTCGATCATTAACATGCATGCCAATTCATTCTACTGTTCTTAGTTTCTTATCATTACTTTACCAATAATTACTATGTATACCTCATGTAATAATTAATATCCTTATCTATTTTGCCCCTTTATTAGATTTGGTTCTAATTCAACCACTTCATATCATCCTAGCTAGCTAATCCCTTCAACTAAATACCTATATAATAATACCCATTTCTGGCATGGAGTTCTCTCCCCCATTGGTTCCGGATATGAATTTGATTAAGGTACGTACAATACTTAATTTAGATAATAATGTTCCTGACTTAATTGGTATATATATATATCCATATATTCATATACAACACCATATATATGGCATGGCCACATTTTTGTTTAAGATGATATATACAGAGTATAATGGAGGTCGCCCTGATCGATACTATTGCAAATTGATGAATTGAATAAGACAAAGCTTCGTTTGACAAGTATGATATGATTCTAGTTCCAAAGTTTTAATATGAAAATAATCTATTTTTGAGGATTAAATAGGTGGTATTTTTGGGATAAAACATGCTACGTACTCCGTATTTGTCATGCATATTTGCGAGCTTGATCTATTTTTAGTCAAACAAGGTGATTCCTTTTGTTTGCATGTTATATTTTTGAAATGTTAAATTAATACTCCGTAAAAATTACTAGGTATATTTTTATATATACAAAGAGTATCTTTACTCTGTGTATAATGCTCTGTAATACTCCTTCTATCCTACTAAGATTGTCTCATTAGACAAAACTGACTAAGATTGTCTCATACGAAGTATTAAATTTGATAAAGTTTGTGTGACTTTAAATAATTTGTTTTATCTTTAATTTATCAATTCAATCACATGACCCATTTTTCTTAATAATCGTGTCAACTCTGTTTCAATGTTAGTGGGGGAGGTAGAGAGGTAGTAGTTAAACATGAATATCAAAGATTCTCAAAGACAAACTTAAACTACCAAAATATATGAGAAGAATTTAATACGGAGTAATTTAGTTTGGATGCAAACATGCTTGTGTCAGAAAGTGAGAAACGCCCAGATTGAAGTTTAAACAAGTTTTTTTGGGCGGTACGTAGTTCTAGCTATTGTTCGTAAATATACATGAATCGTGATATTATTGTGTCTGTTTCTATGATGGATGTTATTTTTTATTTTGTCTAATATTATTATATTGTAAGTCAATCAATTGTCAAATGATCTACTGAATATTAATGCTAGTTTTGGCAATTTAGTTTAAAAAAATACATGAATCATGACATATATGAGTGTAAGATGCTAATCCAAATTAAGTTAAAACCTTAAGTTATACTAGTATTTTCGTATTTACACTTTTGTAGGTAAATACAAGAGAGAATTCCCTAAATAGGAGTAAAAACGTTTTGAAATTCCGAAATAGGAGTATCATGTTTTTTATTTCCTGAATAGGAGTAAATTTCTGCCAAGTTTGGCATTACAAGACTTTTAACATGACATTTTTTTCCAAACTTGGCAGATTACTTCTATTCAGGAAATAAAAAACATGATATTCCTAATTTGAAATTTCAAAATGTTTTTACTCCTATTTAGAGCAATTTCTGTAAATAGAACTATATGAATAATCAATTAATTATATTCCGTATGTAATAAATTGTTCGTTAGCCCTATCTAAATTCAATAAATTTGGAATCCTAGCTACGTCCTTGTGCAAAGTGCAAACGAGATGAACGTCTTGTACTCGGAACGTGCACATGAGAATAAAGATTTTTTTGTAATATGTGGGATGAATCTAAACCTATTTTCATTTGGAATGTTTTGAGTCTCATAGTACAAGACTTAAACATATACTTCCTCCGTTCTTAAATAAATGCAACGGTCAACATTTCACACTTGCCGAGACACAACTTTGACCATTAATATAAATGATTTTGTATTAGTAAAAAATTAAAAAAAATTAGATTATGAAAATTTACAATGAGACAAGTTTAACAATATTTTTTCATAAAATAATATTATTACATTAATAAATAAAACGTAGTCAAAGTAGAACATGTTAATAGTGTAAAAGTCAAAACGTTGCATTTATTTAAGAACGGAGGTAGTATCAAACTAAACAAGTCCACATTTAGGTAAGAGTAAATTAGTACATAAATTTAGATTGGAAAAATTTGACTTTGCATCTCATGTTTAAGTTAGTATTTGACTTTGCACCACATTTTTATAATCATTAATGTATGCAACGCATCACTCCAAAAAATGTGAAGGTGTGAGGTGCAAAGTCAAATGATTGTATTGCGAATTAGAGTGCATATACTAATGATTTTTTAAAATAAAGTGCGTATAAAGTCAAATATCACCCAAACATGAGGTGCAAAGTCAAATTCTCCATTTTACCCATATATTATACATAATCAGATTTTAACAAATCAGACCACACAAATTTGGACTAGAGTAGAAAATTTTAATTCATAATTTGGTATGCCATCGTCTTTTTTATTCTTTTGTGCTATTCATTAGGGAGTATATATTACTAGTATTCATGCATAGCCAATTGTTGCTTAGGTTCCCTATATATGTGGGTACAATTAAGCATGCTAGGCTCTGTATTTGCCGGCTCATCACCGTTTGTTTCTCACCGTGTTTCTAGGATGATGTTTTTATTTAAGGTATGTGGTGAATAATTATATATATAAGTGATTATTATTGTAATGTGACTAACTAACTTAACCTCCAAATTGAAACCCAACCTTTCAATTCTTTTCTTTCAATCATTCCTTAATCACATGCCTAATTGAGCTTCAAACCCATATACGCACGTTGCCTCTAATATTTCATCTTAGCTTCTTCTGCAATTTCGTCTAATATAATATGGTAAGCAAATTTCATAGTTTCAATTCCTCAGCTTGTAAAAATGGTAGGGATGATCAGTGCGTTTTATACTTTTATTTTCCTTTAACCCTTTATGAATATGTATGTATGTTTATAGAGTAACAGTCGTGATCGAAAAAGGTAATTAACTTTTCTTTAATATCATTAAAAATGGCTTTTTTATTGTCATTATGACAAAATCATGATTCTTGTTGTTTTTTAATTGAGTTGAAGAGAGATTCGATCATGTTTTGTACGTAGTATGAAAGAGATGTTTAGTCAAGGGCACAAACAACAATCATGAATTCATGATGATCATAATCGTTTATCTTGTAGAATTAGTGATGCCATGTGGGGGTTGATCACCAATCCTGCCATCCTTTAGTTTTAAATTGTCTCTTTATATTTATTCATGAATATTACATGTAATAATGGTGTTTCTTATCGTGATATAATGGAATATATTTAGCTTTTTCGTGGTGGATATATGCATACAATTCGATTCCTTGATTCATTTACAGGCTGGAGGGATATTAGTTTGGAATGAATGACAATAACATGACATCTAGTTTTTCTTGGATAAAATAGAATCATTATTTATTTCTTAAAGAAGTGACTCAAATGTTATTTATTTAAGTGTAAAAAATAAACATAAGTTATTATAGGTAAAGTTAGACTATAGTCATTATATTTAAAAGTTAATAAGTCACACTTTCTTCCAATTCAATAATAACCTTTTATTCAGTATTTTAGTCACAAATACGCAATTTCTATGGAGAATTTCTTACAACATGCATGCATAGTTTATTGCAATAACGGGTCATATTTTTGCTCTATCAAAAAATATAAAAAATACAATGATTAAGAGGAATGTGATAAATGAGCTACTTTGATTAATATGGACTATGTAACTTAATTACATAGTACTAGCTAAATGACCTACTTGAATGTTTTTAGCATGTAATAACTTTTATGAGCCACAAACAAATGACATGCTTTTCCCATTGTGCGGTTTTCTTGTGCGGGCACTAGTAAGAATATTGTTACTTGGTCTTTATATCTCATTTGTCTGCCATGCATATATACGTTCAATTTTCTCACTTACTCTTCCCTTTTCCTTCCAACTTTTATTCCATTTCCATCATTTTGACCACTTCTCTATCTTTTGTGGTTTGTCCGAACCGCGAGCCTCGTTTTTTATACGGTCAAACTATTTTATCATCACAAAACCTCTCAGCTGTGGAAAGCTGTCGGAATATGATATTCAATCTCACGGCTTGTGGATATATTTTCCTGTACGTAAGACCTTGTATACACAATTATTGAGGCCGCACACGGATATAATTGGAGAGTCTTGTTCGTGTCAGGAGTTCTTGACTGAAACTGTCATACATAATTCGTCATTTGAGCTGATTCTTGATGGAATTTAATGACATTTTGTGAGAATGCTTTCCGAAAGTGTAAATTATACTCATAAAATTCAACCAGAAAACACCTCAAAGAGTGAATTCTGCATGGCGATTTTGGTCAGGAAATCCTAATATGATTACACATATACAAGTATATATTACGTATAAATTTATGGGAAATTTCCTGAAGAGTACAAATGTTTGAAATTCCACAATAAAACTAGTGTATTCCTGGATATGAATAATTACTGTTGTCAATTGTGATAAATGTTGTCATGACAATAATTATTCCTATTTAGAAAATAGAAATATACTAGTAGTACTTGAAATTCACAAAGTTTTCTATTCATCCACTTTAGGATCATTTCTTTATATTTATATACTCCAAATTAATTGCATGGGGAGATTCGGAGGAAGACATAATAATACTCCTCAAAATCGCTCTTTTAGATATCATCATCTTCACATTATTTATTTACAACAATTTACATATTATCCTTATTGTTTAGTTAATTGATTGATTAATGTATGTTTTTTTTATTTTTTGTGTTGATATAATGTAGGATGAAATTGCAAGCTCAATGAGTGCCCAAATCTTGGAGTTTAGCGAGTCTGAATTGTTCCCAGAAACCTTACAGGTTTCCGAGGTGGGGTCCAGTTCCAACTGCGGTTACGAGGAGCACTCGTCGTACTCCACGAATCTCCCGCCCACCCCCGACATGCACACGTTCAGCGGCGGCGGGTGCGGCGGCGAGACGAAGGACATCATCGCCACCGTCACCGAGACGCCGAACTCCGCCGCCGTGGACAACAACCACCTCTCCATCGTGTTCGACACGCGCGACGACATCGGCAACGACATATCGGCGTCCATCGACTTCGGCGGCGCCGAGAACTTCTCCCTCCCGCCGCAGTTCCTCAACCACCCGGCCAACAACCTCGACCAGTTCGACATGTCCTCGTTCGACAACAACCAGGTCGCCGTCGGGCAACAGTACCCGCCGGAGAATCAGATGATGCAGCTCATGGCGCCGCCGCAGATGGTGTACGACGAGGAATGCCTTCCCTCTGTTCCGCCGTACTTGCATCTGGCGTCTTCTTCGCCTTCTTGTTCGTTTCTTGATCCGAATTTGTGCGGATACCTCCCGGGGAATCTCAACCCCGGCAACTTGTCCGCTGATAATTCCGGCGTCTTCTCCGGCGGCGGCTTTTTTCTTGGAGGGGAGTTGACTTCGTCTCAAGACCTGGATTTTCAGGGAGATAATAGCAATAGACTGTTCTGCCCTGATAACATTCCACGTGTTTATAACTGCCAGAGTGACCAGTTTCAGGTAATTACATGTTAATCAGTTGATGTCTTTTAAATTAAGAACAAAATCTTCTTAAAAAGAAAAATTGCTCCAAATATGAATAGAATTGAGCGAAATGCATATTAAAAATTACTACTTATAAAATTTCACCAATCAGGATGATTGAGTCATACGAAGTATTTTAGTTTTATTTACACACTTCATTTATATTTTAATCCTTTTTCAAAGAATCTATATACGAAGTACTCCGTATGTAGTATTTCTCAAACAAAGCAATTAATATTAAAAATGTATTTGTTTCATACTGAAAAAGCTATAAAACAATAAAAATATATGTACGTACTTCATAGTACTCCGTATATAGTAAGAGCACAACATGTACCAAATTTACGAATATGATTACATATATTTCATTCTCTATATATATCTATTTGATCCTAAAAAGGATAAAGCAGTTAAAAGTTCTCTTTTAGAAGAACATATCTTCTATTTAAAAATAATAATTATACTTTTATTATATTTAAGGAAATCAGTTATGATTTAGTGACTTAATAAAATCTTGTTTAAGAAAAATATCTCAAAAATGTTCGTGTACATTTCTAAATGTACTTGTAATTGTTAAATAAAACATGGGTCAAAATTGAACATTCTTAAACATAGTCAAACATGGTATATTCTTATTAGACAGATGAGTAGTTATTTTAGTGGGCGACAACAATAAAGTAGAATACGGTACGGCATCATTTTGTGAGGAAGGTTGATAATTGAATTGTTGGTGATAACTCTCATACTCATTTAAAAAATATGGTATCGTACCTACCGTTCATTTGATTGGTCCACATCATTATATCATCTTTAATTTAGATTTAAATAATTCAACTCCATCATTTTTATTGATCCATGCGGACAAAGGTATGGTACCTTAAGGGTACCATAGAATTTACCTTACAAATTACAGAGTAAGTTTAATTGATTATTGAGTAATTGATTATATTAATTTTGATTATGAAGGCCCTAAACAGTGAGAATCAGCATTTGGTTAGTGGAGGTGGTGGGAGCTCAACAGGTTTGACATCTGACATCACATGCTTGGAGGATACAACCTTCAAGGTAGGCAAGCTTTCTGTTGAAGAAAGGAAGGAGAAGATCCACAGATACTTAAAGAAGAAGAATGAGAGAAATTTTAGCAAGAAAATCAAGGTATTTGACTAGTTCTATATATACTTCACTTTCCTAGCTATATTTTTTTTTGGAAAACTCAAAACATAATTTTGAAACCATTATATATTGTGATGTTTGGAGTTTTAAAATCAACATGTTCACTTATACTTCCTCTGTTCTTAAATAAATGCAACGGTCAACATTTCACACTTGTCGAGACACAACTTTGACCATTAATATAAATGATTTTGTATTAGTAAAAAAATTAAAAAAAATTAGATTATGAAAATTTACAATGAGACAAGTTTAACAATATTTTTTTCATAAAATAATATTATTACATTAATAAATAAAACGTAGTCAAAGTAGAACATGTGAATAGTATAAAAGTCAAAGTATTGCATTTATTTAAAAACGGAGGTAGTACTAGCTTATGAGTGCTAACTTTTCTTATTCAACTGATAAAAAAAAGTTACCCAACACATATATTTTCTAAATTAAACCCATCAAAATCACAAAACAAAAAACTAAAACCGATAGCAATACCAAATGAGCCCTAAATTATCCTTGTTGATTATAATTTACTCGGTGGTCTAAAAGTACATTGGTGCTCCAATTGCGGAATGAAGTTGACCAATAACTTGGGTATGAAGTTTGCCAAACCTTCTAGATATGAGTGTATACTTAATTAATAGAAATTGTATCATATACTCCGTACAAACTAACATAATAGGAAAATGCAATTCAAATAAAATAAAAACTTAAAAAGTAATGGCAAATATATGACCGAAATAAAGGTAGTGGACAAATATGACTTTTTATAGTTTAGTGACTATTATAATAACTTTAATGAATATAATTATATCCAACTCCGCAGTATATTAACTATGCATAATAAATATTGTATGAAATAATATTTTTGTGCATAAGCTATATTTCAGTAATATTTAAAGAAAAATTCGTAGTACACTTTTTCTCTTTATATGAGTGTGTATGTTTTTGTCCCTTTAAGAGTATGTGTATGTTTCTACTACGTATGAACGTATCTCTTTATAGTAGGAAGTCACTTCTATTAAACACTTTTTCCATAGACTCCTATCATATACCCGGAGTATACACTTAAATAATCTTATTAAAAATATAAGTTGATTAAAACGTCCAAAACAGTAGTGAATCATGAGTCTTATTTTGAAAAAAAGACAAAGATAATGCTATTTATGAAATTTATCATTATTTCAATTCTATTTAAGAAATTTTATACTTAAATCACTAAAGTTAATGACACGAAATCTACAAATTGCAGTATGCATGCAGAAAAACACTAGCCGACAGCAGACCAAGGGTGAGGGGAAGATTTGCCAAGAACGATGATTTTGGTGACATGGCAACGAGATCTCTATCGTCCATGGGCAGCCAAGAAGATGATCCAATGGTTGACATGACATCAGTAACCACAAGACATAATTTCCTCTACGACCCTAATTACCCCACGGCGTTCTCTCAGGGCACCGGCGCCGGCGGCCGGAGTTTCAACTCCAATTGCCTGCCGCCGTCGGGAGCCGGCCCCATTCCCGGCCCCTACGATATGTGCAACACTTTGTTCTTCGCTGATGCTAACATGCAACGATGATTCACTTAACTTTTGATCATTATTAGCTGGACGTAATATGGTGATTAGATCTTCAATTATGGAGGGCGGGGTGATTGCAGCTCGACACGTGTCCTCGTATGTACATACCATGTCAGCAGATTTTTCGGAGTGATTATTGTAAAGCATCACTTGATCACTTATACAATGATTATTGATACGAGATGAATATAACTTGCTTGGATTTCATGTCATTTAGACCATGGTTTAGCACTAATATTGTATGCAATTTGATAATATGTGTTTTTGACAGGGAAGATGAACATTCACGTGTATAATAATGACTCAAATAATTTTTATAGTACGTATATATTTATACACACACAAATTTACACCTCCTAGTGTATATACTTAATTACACATCAAATTATATACTACTAGTAGTAATTAGTATATTCGATCTATGTAGATTGTAGAGTATTTATACATGCTGTTGTGAGGTTATAATTGGTCATCAAGAATCCTCCTTGTAATTGAAAGTTTGTCATTTTCATCTCTTGTTGTGGATAAGGCCTAATTATATAAGGGCATTAGATATAAACCTTAGTCATTTATTTATCTGTATTATTAATATATTACTTGTACGTATTATCACATAGTCAGTTGTAACCTCTTCCTAATTTCTCTTGTCACGCCCCAAACCTATCTGGACACGTCAAAAACCCTCCGTACAATACGAATAGTCAACCGCAATTCAACACATTCATGCTATACGAGACGTCTGGAATATCATTCACACGTAGTACATCCATAAACAAACATAATGTAATTATTCATTAAAGCAGCGGAAACATTTAGTACAAGTGTTTAGGCTACACTTGGCAAATTAGGCATGCAAGCCCTCAAATAGTTATTCAGAAAAATAATATCCATGAGCATTAAATATAATTGTTTTTAAAATGGGAACGGAGGAAGCACGAACCACGTCTTCTCTCCTCGGATTCTTTCCGAAGCAACGGCGATGGTAGCAACCTTCAAGTTCTACCTGAAACCATGAGGTGGCCTCCCCCGTGAAGGGGAGGTCATTACTTTGAAGCATTTGAAAAGTACAATGACAACTATACTAAGTATAATCAATGTTTCAATTTCTAAGACCCTTCAATCTAGAGTGTTATTACATTATAGTTCAAGCATGTTCATTTAATATCATTTCACGCGCTAGAGCCCCCACTCTTAATCACTCTCTTTCATGCTAGAGCTCGGCTCATAGTCATACTACATAAAGCTAGAGTTCGGCTCATAGTCATACTACATAAAGCTAGAGCTCGGCTCATATAGTCATACTACATAAAGCTAGAGCTCGGCTCATAGTCATACTACATAAAGCTAGAGCTCGGATTATAGTCATACTACATTGTGCTAGATCTCGGCTCATAGTCATACTACATTGTGCTAGAGCTCGGCTGATAGTCATGTCATCTAATCTCTAAACAATTTCTTAGCCTAGACTCCATTCATTTTGAGTAACCCTTAAGGCCTACTCCTAATGTAACTTGGAGTTTATAAAGTCCATCTTAAAAATATCTCTTAAGGTTACTTAGGGCATACTCACCACAATTCAATATCTTGGGATTAGCTCCAATGAATAATCGAACTAACATTTTCGACTAGTATTTCTATACTAGTCGTTTGACCTTAATATAACCAAGTTCTTAATTCATAGTAGTTTGTTCATTCAATTAAATTCTTCATCCAAATCTAAAATTGGCTTTAATATCAAAATATCACTTTTATCCTTTCATGACTTCTTTACATAGGGTAAAAGTATATTTATCACAATATACTTCATGGTTAATACAACCATCATGCTATCATATTCATAACACATAATTATACACAATTTATTCATAAATTTGTATATTATGTATCCTTTACTTATAAACAATAATAATTTCATTTAGGCATTTTTTATCATTAATTATCCATGAAAAACACATTTCATTTCATTTTGGAAATATTATGAAATTAACCCAAAAATTATAAACAATATAGTCGGTCATCCTCACCTCGAATTAGCGCTGCGAAGTTCTACCCCTCGAATGAACTCCGGCGAAACTCCGGCGACTTTTGACGAACTCTGGCGACAACTTTGGCGACCCTTTCAACTTTGTGAAAGACCTTGAAATACCTTAATCAAGTTCCTAACAAGGTTTTAACATCATAAAACCTTAATCAACACAAATAACCTATAAAAGGTTATTTTCCGGCGAACCGGTCATTTTGGCCTCTAAGTCCGTTCTTAGACATAGAACCACTTTCCAACCCATTATTTCACACTCATATCATGTAGAAAAATCCTAAGGCTTCTTCATATGATATATATATATTATATGATAGAAGAAAAATAAAGGAAACGTTATGATAAGGTCATTACCTTAATTTTCACACTTTTTTCTAGCTTTTTCCTTCTTTAATCTTCCTTCTTGGAACTCTTTTGCTTGAGCTCGAATTATCTATGGAGGATGGTGGTTTGCAGAGGTTTCTTCCTCTCTTGGTGTGCCTTGGACGAACTCAATGAGTGGGAGAGGAGGGAGGATAGTCCTTTATGTCTTTCTTGGCAAATGGGTGAGGAAATGGGGGTCCACTAGGTGTCAAAGGTCTTCCTCCCATCCTTTCACTTGTCCATCCCCCTTAGCACTCTATCATCCCTCTTGGGTTGACAAATTCGTGGGGTGGCCCCCACCCATGTGGGAGGTCATCCCAATTTGTCCCAAAGTGTACAATCGGTTCCGAAAGATGTATTTTTCGGACTGTTATAATTACTCCGTATATTTTATTTTATCAGGTAAAATAAAATATATTACATGCTCTCAATCATTTTGGTCTTTATAATGAATATACATTCCCCAACTTTGATTTATAAGCCTCCGAAATTCATTTCGGGCCATTATCGTTTAAATTACCAATACGGTATTTGGGCCTCTTTTGACCAATCGGTCAACTCTGGGCCTATAAAAGTCAATTAAGTCCTTCTATAGGAGACTCTGTCCGGCCGTCGCGATTTGGGGCAGTTCCCGGTGGAATTTTTTGATGAAATTTTTTGAACATCTTATTCACCAAGTCTAGTTTACTCATACCAAATTTCAGCTAAAAATTCAATCGGGAACACATTCAAATTAATTCTTGAAGATAACTGCGCATTTTTGCGTTCTCGAATTAATTTGAATGCGCTCCAGATTGAATTTTTAGCTGAAATTTGGTATGAGTAAACTAGACTTGATGAATAAGATGCTCAAAAAATTTCATCAAAAAATTCCACCGGGAACCGCCCCAAATCGCGACGACCGGACAGAGTCTCCTATAGAAGGACTTAATTGACTTTTTTATGAATGTTCGAGGACCTATTTGACAGTTTTCCCCAGAATTAATAAAAATTTACAACTCCGTAAATTCATTAACCATTCCATAGGGTTCAATACATTATTTACTTACAAGTACATATAATTGGGGACAGTGTTACAAGTTCACCCCCGCCCCCCCTATTTGGGATTTCGTCCTCGAAATCCACGTGTCTAATAAAAAAGAAACGGGTATTGCTCCCTCATTGAGACCTCGGTCTCCCAGGTTTCTTCTTCGACTCGATCACTCCTCCAAAAAACCTTCACCATAGGAATCTCCTTGTTCCTCAATTTCTACACCTGCTGCCCCACAATCTTCACCGGTTCCACTGCATATTGTAGGTCTTCAAGTATCTCTACCGGTGGTTTCTCAAGAATATGAGACGGATCTCGTATGTATTTCTTGACCATTGATACATGAAACACGTCGTGAATCTTCTCAAGTTCTGGTGTCGATCAACTTGAGACGGTATACCACAACCCCTATCCTTTCAAGGATTTCAAATGGACCAATGTATTGGGGGTTAAGTTTTCCCCTCGATATAAATCGGATGATACTCTTCCAAGAAGAAATCTTTAGGAAGACCTTATCACCGACTTCAGACTCCAACGGCCTTCGCCGTTTGTGGCATAACTCTTCTGCCGATCTTGGGCAGTCTTGAGTCTATCCCGAATGATCTTCACCTTAACCTTGGTGATCTCGACAAGTTCAATCCCATCGAGCTTGGCCTCGCCAACCTCGTCCCAACACAAAGGTGTCCTGCATTTCCTCACATACAATGCCTCATATGGAGGCATGCCAATACTCACTTCATAACTGTTGTTATAGGCAAACTCCACTAGAGCTAAAAGTTTGTCCCAACTTCCTTGAAACTCCAGAGCACATGCCCTAAGCATATCTTCCAATATCTGTATCACCCGCACAGATTGCACATCCATCTGTGGATGAAAAGTTGTTTATCTACAAAATACTTATTCACATTGTAATTTAAAGAAATTTAGAAGTATAATATCCAAAAGATGATCCCTCCATTTCCATTTCAGCGGAAAAGTAACTCTGCACTATTTTGTGTAGTGTGATTTGTTCATCTTAAGCAGTCAAGTTCAGCGTTTGGAGAAAATCAGCTTAGTAAGACAAAAAAGTGGGTTATTATATTTTTCTACTTCATTTTAAAAAATTGAATGAAACTGTGTTTTTTTTATATTCATTACATTAAATTTTATAAAACTACAAAGTATGGTAAGCAGTTTTGCCTAACAGTGGAGGGAAAGAATAAAAAAAGCACACTGAACAGATTAACAGTGATCCAATACAAGAAAAGAATAATAGAATATGTAGGGCAATGAAAGAAGAACTAGTCACTACACCCGTGTGTTGCACGGGAGGTGAAATACTTACATAAAATTTAGAAGCAATTATGTGAAACTACAAAAGTCAAAACATGAATAGTTCATCATCATTATCAATACCTAATGCCGCAAAGGCTCTCACACCTTCGGTGGGGTAAGGGGGTCGGATGTACGCAATCTTGTCCCTGCATTAAAGCTTATTAACAAAGAAGCGCAGACAGTTTAGTAAGCCATTTTGCTTTATTCCATCATATTCTCAAGCCAAAAAATGGTGAGTCTTTGGCTCCATCGCAAATAATGGAAATAATACATGAATAGCTAGTCAATTTATTTAAAAAGTTAAATAAAATCCTACACAAAGAGGCTGTTTGGCAACACTGGTTCTCGGCAGGCTTATCAGCCAACTTTTTCACCAAACACGTAACTTTTGCTTTCGCGCGCTGAATTGTGTAATAAGCAGAAAAAGTAAGTTTGGAGTTACTTTTCTGGTTGTATTGACAGCAGTTACTGTAAATGACCATTTTAGTTATTTTTACATATAATTTTTTCTTTATTTTTTTAATAGAATATATTTTACAAATAATTTTTTCTTAAATCAGCAGAATCAGCCAATGCAGCCACTTTAGCCAGAACTTCATATATTTCAGCAAAACTAGCCAAAACAGCCGATTTTTTCGTCCTACCAAACAGGCTCAAGGTGTCATTGTAATAACCATTGTTCTAAAACTCGCTAGGCGCTAGTCGGGCGGTTGAGTGACGCCTAGCACCTAGCCGGCCGACTAGGGTGATTTTTTGACCGACTAGGCCGACTAGGCCACTACAGTTAGGGCCGTCTAGGCAGCCTAGGCCGATTAATTGGTCCGCCTAGACCGATTTTTAGAACAATGGTAATAACATTATAAGAAATAAATAGTAAAATTTAACAATGAAACCCATAAAAAACTGTAAAAGGAAACTATAAATTACTATCAAATTTTATGGATAAAACATTAAACACAAACGATGTTGAACGTTCGTTTTCATCACATATCACAAACTTTAACTCAAGCAAGGTTGTTATTCTCATGAACACCACAAACAACTATCCATGTGTGAAAAAGGGCTGACGGAGGAAGATGTCACAATTTCCCATTCACTATCTTGAACTCTTATTAATGATCATTACATAGCTAACCATTTATAGAAATTGTTTACGCTGAAAAGTGATTGGACCTTAATGTGTGATGGCGTTAAAGTAAGTCAGTGATTAAATATGTATTACTCGTACATCATTGACATATTCTCCCTTCGTCCCTAAATTTTGTTCCATAGTACAAATGACACGGGGATTAAGATAGTAAGTATTGTGTGGTGGAGAGTTGTGCAGATGAGAGAGAAATGTGTAAGAATTGTTGTGAACCACAAATCTTTAGCTAAAAGGGAAAGAGAAATTTTATTTTGGGATGCTCAAAAAGGAAAGTTAGAAGTATTTTTAAGGACAGAGGGAGTAATACTTTTTGTTGCTAAACTAAAAAAAGTATGTAGTTAGAAAATACTCCATCCGTCCCACAAAATAGTTCTCACATTGATTTGGATCGTAGTTTAAGAAAGTGATAATAAAGTGGAAATGTATGATTGTGGTTGAGTAAGAAAAAAGTAAGTACATGTTAGCCACTCAAAAGTTTCCAAAAGAAGAAGTGAGAACTATTTTTTGTGACGGCCCGGAAAGGAAATCGGGAACTATTTTGCGGGACTGGGACCGGGACGGAGGGAGTAATATGTTGACATATTAAGTTTTGAACCCAACAAAATAATTTTCTCAAGCACGGAGCACCTCTTGATCATACGACAGTATTTCTTATACAGCCTTTGTAATGACCATCCCTAAGGTGCATGCTCTATTTAGCGAGAGGAAACAAAATGTTGCTTACTTAAATCCACTTTAAAATTTCCACATCAAGTTTTTATAATTTCTTTGAAATTATCCGTTACTGTAGTTAGCACTAATTGCTTTTGTTTTTTTAGATAAGTCTCAATAGCTCTTTAGAAGATAAAATATTAAAATTGAAATGGTAAAATAGAAGTTTAGAATTTTGTTTGTTATGTTTATTTTGTTGTAAAATAGAATTTGTTTGAGAGTACGTTGGGTATAAAAGAAAATATCATAATTGTTGAGATGAATAACAAAAAGATAAATTCCATATATTAAAAATAAAATATGTTATATTGGAAAGATTAAAATACATGTAAGCGTTCATTTTAATGCATTTTCACGTTCAACGATACGTTTTATCACATACTAAAATTGTGATAAAATTGTCCCATTTTTTTCTTTTCGGAAAGTCCTACCAAATCTCGTAAAGTTTGTATGTTTCTAAAGCATTTTGACTTTATTTTTCAATATCAACCACATATACTCATTTTTTCTTAATAATTGTGGCAACCACTCTTGTTCCAATGTTAGTGGGACGGAAGTAGTATATCCAAGATAACCCAAGTCCCCAATGAGAGAGTTGAATTTCTATGAGCATAAAACCAACAATCGTTAATCTGGATGGTACATGTGCTTTAACGTTAGCTGAAATGATTTCATATTTGAATTCCAGTTTTATATTAAAATTGTTCATTGCATTACCTATTAGTTCATGTAACACCAAATACTTGAAAAATTGCAGATTTATCAAACGTGAATTAATGATGAATAACAGAGTAAACAAAAGAGCACTACAGATAGATTGATACCAATGATAAGGAGTATTTTATATAAGTAGGATTAAGAATGGCTACAAATGATGTTGAGATTAATGCTAAAAAATTACTACCTTCGTCCCGTTGGAAGGTTCCCATAGCAAAACACGGTTATTTAGAAAAATAATTTTTAATAGACATATATTATAATGTGTTAATATTGATAACTGTGATGTTATAAATGTCTTATTTTTAATTTTTAATATTTAATGACTAATTTATCACTTAAGATTGTTAATTGTTTCCTAAAATTGAAATGAGAACCTTCTAACAGGATGTTCAAAAAAGGAAAATGGGAACCTTCTAAAGGAACGGAGGGAGTAATTGTTTACACCCATCTGTGCATATGGCAAACTTTTAGAGGTGCATATGGCAGCCAATTTATTTCTTACTAAATATAATCATGTAAAATAGAGACGTAGATGCAGATTTATCTTAAATAAGCAATGATGAAGTTCACAATTGCACTTCTTTGGTTGTATCTGTAGCTTCGTCTTTTGAAGTGACGTAGGATGTGATTCATTCACTTAAAGGTTTTTTTGGACAAACCTGTTCAATTAGCTCTTTGGTTCTAGATGCAGATGAGTTTTAGGAGCTAAACGGCCGGGTAGAACCTCCTATATAAAAAACTAATTGAACATTTAAAGAATTCTTTAATTTCTGAAACATATTGATAAAAATAAACTTAATAGCTAGCAATGAAAAAGTTAATCCAAAATAAAGGATGAAATTCCATTCTTCAGCACGTCCACGAACCGACCAATTAGTTAGCTGAGAGGATGAAAATTGAATATTTGATCACATACTGATGAAAAGAGAGCGGAGTTTCATTCCAAGTCTTTAAATGGTTTGGAGTTGAACCTGAGACCTCTCCCTTGTGGCACCCTCTTCCCAGCATATGTGCTACACCCCGGTGAAGTTAATCCAATTTTATCACCTATATTTTGAAAAATATATTTCAAAAGAAATTATGTTGTAGAAAGCTATTACGGAGTACATGTGTATGTTGCGTTGATATAAATAACTACATACTATACCTTTTATTTATGGAACATGAATGGAGAATGAATATAAACGGTTTCTTAAGATCTCTGAAACGTATTTGTCAAGAAGAGTGATTATGGATGTAAGAAGTGTTATGAGTGCATAGAGAATGCAGGAATGCGGCAATCCTTCCACAGTTACACACATGTATATAGAGCCCGTTTGGTATCAAGAAAATCGGCTGTTTTGGCTGATTCTGCTGAAATTTATGAAATTCTGACTGAAGTGGCTGATTCTGCTGATTCTGCTGATTTAAGAAAAAAATATTTTAAAAAAAAAATTATTAATAAATTATAGAAAAAATTACATGTAAAAATAGCTAAAATAGTCCTCTACAGTAACTTCAGCCAATACAGCCAGAAAAGTAACTCCGACCTTACATTTTCTGCTTATTACACAATTCAGCACACAAAAGTAAAAGTTACGTGTTTGGTGAAAAAGCTGGCTGATAAGCCTGATAAGCCGAAAAAAGAGGTCTCCAAACGGGCTCATAATGTTCTTTTAGTCTTAACTGACCTTTTATTTTAAATAGATTATGTTTATACACTTATCTGAACCATAGATTAAAGTAACTTTTTACTCAACAAATTTTAGATTGGTTGTGTCTATTCTTTATCCTAATTGTATATTAGTATAAGTACATGCAACCAATCCAACACCAAATAAAAGAACACGTTATTTATTCTTTTAACTAATAAGAAAAGTTAGAAATATAAAAGATATATGGATTTAAGCAAAGCAACAAAGAGAATGCAATTGTGCAACTCTATAAAGAGTATCTATCGTTTTCCCTATAAACAGAAGTGTAATGGAAGTTTGTAGTAGAAGTAGGGGAGAAATTGAAGAATCTAAGCAGGGGCGGAGCCAGAAAAATGATTCAGCGGGGTCAAAATCAAATTTACATAGAATCAAAACGGTAGATTATTTTTAGACAATACCCGAATTGAATGTAGCTTAAATAAATGATAGTTTAAATGAAACTGATAGAGTATATGTAGTTAATATACTTCGTATATGTCACATACTATCGTATATTATAAACATGTTTTATACGGGTTGAGTTGAGTACCTCGGATGAGACCCATTGTCGTACCCTAGTACTCTATAGTTCTCTTCGATCTTACTCGGTTTAGTATTAAAATTTCTTACTAGAAAAGAATCATTTATTGAGTAGGCACTCGTAGCAGTAAGATATGTTGTATTTTCTCTGTCCCTAAGTCATGTCACGTAAGTAACGAGTGAATTACACGCTATTTTGTGAATATAATTAATATTACGCATCACAATTTTACTAATTACAAACTTAAATAGTGCTGATTTTGCAGAAGTCATAACTTTTTACTCGTAATGAGTTACGAGAGCCATAATATATCAAATCGAAGATATTTCAGAGCTCTACACTCTTAAATTTTCAGCGGGGTCGGCTGACCACCCTGACCCCCCAGTAGCTCCGCCCCTGAATCTAAGTATACATACACATAGATAGGAACTGATACCACATTTGTAATGTGTGGCCATGTGGGAAAAGCCAAAGTGAATGCAATTGTGCAACTCTATGAAGAGTATCTACTGCTGCTTGACTGGAAACAAAAGTTATAAACTGAGAAACAAAGCAGCTTATACCAACTTTAGTTATTCTCATGATAGTAAAATAATGACTCAAAATAATTAATCCAACTGAAATAATATACTCATTGCCTTCTCATTACTTGTTTACGATGGTTGACTGGTCATTTCATCATCATCATTTTCATTTACCCCAGTGCCGCAAAGGCTCCCACCTACGGCGGGGTAAGGGGAGGTCAGATGTACGCAGTCTTACCCATGTATTAAAGCACAAAGAGACTATTTCCGGATGACCCATAGTGAAAATCACGTCCAAAATTGCATGGACTGACAGCTGCTTCATAAGAAAGAAGCGTAGACAGTTTAGTGAGCCGTTTCGCTTTATTCCATCATATTCTCAAGCCAAAAAATAATGAATCTTTGACTCCATTGAAAATGATGGTTGACTGGTGATAAAGTTAATTCCTTCTTGACATTATAGAAATTGGTATTAAAATGTAAAATTGAGACATTTAGAAACTACAGAATGATTTTGACACTAAATTGGTATTAAAATGTGATATTTTGACACTGAAGGTGTATTGTAGTTTTTTCTTATTAGGAAAACAGAGAAATCATCTCCAGATGAGGAGGCAACTACATTTTCAAGAATCCTCTCTGGGCTACAACTGTGCTTCTTCAGTTCTTTCTTGATTGCCTCTCACCCAAATAAGACCTTACACTAAATTAGACTACACTAAAGTCCTAAACAATAAGAGCCAGAATAATATAGTAAACAGTCAATTAACCTTCAACAGAATGACACCTTACAAAATAGACTTCCTTGGTAGATGCGCCAACATCAATGTGTTCTATTCGGATAAAGAAGATAACAGAGATGATGATTCAGGAAAGCTGAATTGATTGAAGGCAGAAGAAATAGATGGCAAGAACAGACAGTTTTAAAGATTAATTTCCACATATGGCTATCCAAATGAAGACGAACTTGAGCAGCAACTGCCAATAACCCATATAAACTTCAATAGCTAAATAATGTTAAGAAATCTATGGCTTGATGATGCTCAAATTTGTTATTAACAAAATTGCATGGACTGGCTACATGAATGTGGTTCCTTTACCATACCTAACTCTAAGGGAAATGAGGATTCATACTGCAGTTGGCCAAAGAATGGTTTTATAACAAAATTGCATGGACTGGTTTCATAGCCAAAATCTTAATAACCATGTACAACACCGAGTACAGCCCCCAAGTTTTATAGCACAAACCTTGCCTTTTTCATAAACTATGCTATATATACAAAAACCTTGTGTTTTTTCATAAACCATGTTCACCTTCTCCATTTTTCTCAATTCTTGAAAAGAAAGTTGCAGTTTTGTGTATTATAAGCAGCATTTGTTTATAATCCGGTCTCTTAATTGTTCATCACTAAATCAAGTCCCAAAAAGAGAGCAATGTGAAACACTAAACAAATTAGATTTGTTCATTTATACAATTTCAAAAAACAAAGGAAGATCATGTAAGCATTTTACCAAACATAACATATGTTATCAAACATGACATATGCAAGATATTTGACCACCATTTTACTTTTTGCAGCAAGGGATAAATAAGTACATTAACCCATCACTACATCACTTGATTGCTGGGAGTATATTTTTTCCCCACATAGAATTAACTGTCTCAAAGAACCAGATTTATGAAGGGGTATTACAATTGTGTCAAACATTTCCACACAAAACAAACAAATGAAACCAAATACAACATGCCATTTAGCCTTTAGGGTATTATTATACACTTGAATATGATTTAATTTGAATAGGAAAATTAAAGTATTTAAAATATGTGAGATTTAAAATTTGGAAATTGAAGTGAATAATTAAAAAAGATGTGAATATAGTTAATCTGAGGAAGTGAGGATTCAAATCTACTTTATGACTCAGGGCCGGTCCTGGGGCATGGGCAGGAGGGGCATGCGCCCAGAGCCCTTTGCTCCAGTAGGGCCCATAAATTTCTCAAATGTGTGTGTGTGTGTTTGTTTACATCACTATTTTAATTATATGTACATCCTAAATCTATAAAAGGTAAAATATAAAATCAAACTTATATTTTTTAGATACTTCTAATTAGTTATTCAGCATCTACACGCTACAGGTCTATAATTTCGAAACATCCACATTAGAATTCAATCAATTCATTGAGAACGTATTTCACCATTTCTTTTGAATCATTATATTACAGATTATTGCATTAATTTTATTCTTTTAGTGTACATGTCTTATGTATATCCAGAACTTATTGATATATTTCACAAATTTCCTCCGATTCTCTCATTTAGGGAGTGTTTGCAACTGCTTCTGCTTAAATAAAAGCACTTTTGGAGAAGTAATGAAAAAGTGATTAGTAGTAAAAGTCGATAGTGTTTGAGAAAAAAGTGATTTTGAAAAGTAAAAGTTGATAGTGTTTGGTAAAATAAGTGCTTTTTGTGTAATAGAAAAGGGAAAAACACTTTTCACACGCAAGCCGAGAAAAAGTAAAAATTGGAAGTGTTTGGTAAATAAGTGCTTTTTTAAGCCAAAAGCTGAGAAGTGCTTTTTTTAAGCTATTGCAAACACTCCCTTAGTGAAAGATTGAACTTTAGTGTCCAAAATTTAGAAACGTAGAATTTGTTTTTGTCTAGTGAAAATGTGATATAAAATATGAAAAGGTTACTCCTAATTATACAAGATATAATTTCACAGCTTTCCTTAATTTAAAATTTTTATTGCACCTAATAGTTGCACTACTTGTTTCACTCGGCTCTTAGGTACATTGTATCCTCAAATGTCACTTATCAAATAACCTATATATATTTTCTAACCATGTGCTTTGTTAGTTTTTTTGATGTGTTATACTACTTTTGGACGTTGAAATTGTATAATTTTAAATTATTGATTATTATAGGAAAAAGAACATTATAAATATTCCCCCGCTATCCTTGAGGCCCAGTCTATTTGTATCGTCCCGGGCCCATCAAATGTCAGGATCGGGCCTGTTATGACTACGTTCGTAGATGAAATACTTACGTCTTGTGAATGTTAAATCTCACCTTGAGCGCTGACAGTTTCGATCAACAGGCAGTAGTTATAAGTTACAATGTCATACCATGTCTACATAGCTTGAAGATCCACAGAAATTGCCTTCATCTAAGCAAAAAAAAAAAGTGAATTCCCTCAAGAAGTTCAATCATTATTTTAGTTTTGCTGCAAGGAATAATAAGGCATACATGTACCTAGTTAATGGAGTAGTTACTTTTATATGATATCACTCTATTACTGGTCATTATTTTACACCACAAAAATAATTATTTTTATGAAAAGAAACATATTTGTAGAGAGATGTATTGAGTTAGGCAAGCAAAATGTTCAAACGGGAGTATCAGATTGGGGAAAAAATATTTATAAAGTATCACATTTAGTAATAAGAAAGTAATGTGGATATATACCATTAAAGGAACTAATGAAAAGATAGTTAATTTGCCAAATGCTTAACTCAAATATATTCATGTATTATAAAGAAAAGTGTAAATTAAAGCAATTATATTACGCTATTTCTCATATTGTTCTTATGATGTTGAAAAAGAATAACTCTAAGCATTATATGAAAGTTATTCATAGTCAAGTATTTAGAACCCTAAGAAGATTGGTTTACAATAATTACACCTTTTGAATTTTAATTCCAGCAGGGGGAAAAGTAACTCTGCACTATTTTGTGTAGTGTGATTTGTTCATCTTAAGCAGTCAAGTTCAGCGTTTGGAGAAAATCAGCTTAGTAAGACAAAAAAAAAGTGGGTTATTATATTTTTCTACTTCATTTACAAAAATTGAATGAAACTGTGTTTTTTTACATTCATTACATTAAATTTTATAAAACTACAAACTTACAAAGTATGGTAAGCATTTTGCCTAACAGTGGAGGGAAAGAATAAAAAAAGCACACTGAACAAATCAATGATCCAATACAAGAAAAGAATAATAGAATATGTAGGGCAATGAAGAAGAATACATATAATACCTTTTTAAACCATAATTTCCAAGTAAGTTACCTACCTTTCCAAAGAATCTCAATGACTTTAAAAGGAAAAACAGGAACTTAATGTCCCCCAATCTTCAAATATTTCTTTCCTGAACCCTCAAATAATCTCATTCAAGATTTAAAACGTTTGGTGGGGAGATGGGGGGAAGAACAATGGTGATGATGGCCATCCTTGTGATGGCCTGTGCTTCTTTCGGTTCCGGGTCCACCAATCAGCACCAGAAATGGACATGGATGTCATCAGGTTCTGATGGATCATCCTCGCCCTCATCCTCGTCCTCATCACCATCCGTTTACACTCAAGCGGGACCGTCTTCAATTGTTCTGCCGCTTTATGGCAATGTTTACCCCAAAGGGTATGTGATTCTGCTTCTCTGTGTTCCTGTTTGCTTTATCATGCACACACTTACTTAAACATACATGTATATGGATATATATAGAGAGAGTAGAGATCAAATAAAAGAACTTCTAAACGTGTAAAGTGAGAAGTCACAAGAGTCTATTTTTATAATCCGGACGTTTGAATAACAGAAGAGGCTTTGAGCAATCTTGTAACTTCATTATTACGGTTAATTTTGGTAACTGCATCTCATTAATGATGAATAGATATTACGGTATTATGAGTTGTGCTAGAGGTACCTCATTTGGTACCATATTTGTACACCCTTCCTATATTTGTGGTTCACAAAAGTCCAACACATTAAATGAATTGCTCCATTTTAATGAATTGCTTTTGTGAACCACAAATATATGGAGGGGGTACAAAATGGGATACAAATTGGGGTAGCAATAGCATTTGTGTGGTTTTATATGGCAACAAATTTACGTCCTTATTGTTTCTGTAAGTGATGTGTTCTTTCTTTTTTCTTGTTGATCGAATCAGCAATTTATGTTAACGTGTCAGTTATATTGTGCTAGTTTTCATTATTCTTGTGCTCATGTAAAGTAATCGGATGCATTTAGGATGTTTTTTTGGACCGTTTTCAAGCCCAGACCAGACCAGACCAGATCATATCAGATCAGATCAAATCAGACAAGACCAGACCAGACTTGACTTCCGTAGTTATAAAAAACACAGAGACCAGACGTTTACCAGACCAGACCAGACCAGACCAGATAAGATCAGACCAGACCAGGCCAAACCAGACCAGACTAGCAGTCGAAAAGAAAACATCCTTATACTCCGTATCAATAGTTTATTTATCAACACAGCTATATACATAGAGTACATTGTTTTTAAATTCATACTTCCTCCATTCTTAAATAAATGCAACGGTCAACATTTCACATTTGCCGAGATACAACTTTGACCATTAATATATATAATTCTCTATTAGTAAAAAATTTTAAAAATTAGATTATGAAAAATTACAATAAGACAAATTTAGGGAAAACTGTCAAATAGGTCCTCGAACTTTCAAAAAAAGGTCAAATAAGTCCTTATATAGGAGGCTCTGTCCGGCCGTCGCGATTTGGGGTGGTTCCCGGTGGAATTTTTTGATGAAACTTTTTGAGCATCTTATTCATCAGGTCTAGTTTACTCATACCAAATTTCAGCTAAAACTGCAATCGGGAACGCATTCAAATTAATTCTTGAAGATAATTGTTCATTTAACTGCACAGTTATCTTCAAGAATTAATTTGAATGCGTTCTCGATTGAATTTTTAGCTGAAATTTGGTATGAGTAAACTAGACTTGATGAATAAGATGCTCAAAAAGTTTCATCAAAAAATTCCACCGGGAACCACCCCAAATCGCGACGGCAGGACAGAGCCTCCTATATAAGGACTTATTTGATCTTTTTTTGAAAGTTCGAGGACCTATTTGACAGTTTTCCCGACAAATTTAACAATATTTTTTTTCAAAAAAAATATATTAATACATTAATAAATAAAATGTAGTCAAAGTAGAGCATGTTAATAGTGTAAAATTCAACATGTTGCATTTATTTAACAACGGAGGTAGTACTCCGCATTTACAATATAGATAATGCACTAATTCAATATTATCCCACTTTGCTACATAATCTTAAAAACACATGTATGTAATTATATTAATAAAAATAACATTCTGTTGCACATGAATCACTAGTGTGTGCACAAGTGCCTGAATTCTGCACACCTTACCCGTGGTGCAAGCTAAACCTGCTACTACATAGATGTCAAATACACACTTATCATTCACTTTTTGCTCTATTTACCAAATTGATTGTTATTTACGGATTTAAATTACTTTTCCTTTTTCAGTTTATCGCTACTTTTCATTTCACTTGTTTTCGCATATTAATATATTATTGTCAACATTGCAGTATACTACGTAATAATTTGCCAATAAACCCCCTGTTTTTTAATTAATTTATACTACCTCCGTCACATTTATATTGGGACGGAAGAGGGTGACACAGTTATTAAGAAAAGTTGGTTTGTGTGGTTGATATTAATTGATAAAGTAAGAATAAAGTAAGAATGATTTAGAGTCACACAAACTTTGCCAAATATGGTATAGGACAATTTAAGTGGGACTTCCCAAAAAGGTAAAACGGGACAATATAAATGGGACGGAAGGAGTATCAAACATTTGTTACATACATGCGCACTTATCTCACTTTCTCATGCTCGTTAATGTTCAGCAACGGCAATACAACTGAATTACCCCCAGCAAAACCACACCAATCCAACAATGCATACTCACACAATGCGGTTTAATTTATAAATTAATTTAAAGAAGCTAAGTTTGAAAGAAAGCCAGGCAAAAAAACATTAGCTTCCCCCAATTTTCCCCACAGAAAGCCAATACTGACATTAAAAGTTGACATATAAAAGTTTGGGAAAATGTGCCAATAGGCCCATGTATTAACCAAAAAAGGTCAAATAAGTCCTTATTTAGGAGGCTCTGTCCGGCCTTCGTCATTTGGGGTGGTTCCCGGTGGAATTTTATGATGAAATTTTTTGAGCATCTTATTCATCAAGTCTAGTTTACTCATACCAAATTTCAGCTAAAACTTCAATCGGGAAGCCATCCAAATGAATTCTTAAAGATAACTGCGCTTCTAACTGCGCAGTTATTTTCAAGAATTCATTTGAATGTCTTCCCGATTGAATTTTTAGCTGAAATTTGGTATGAGTAAACTAGACTTGATGAATAAGATGCTCAAAAATTTTCATCAAAAAATTCCGCCAGGAACCATCCCAAATGGAGATGACCGGACAGAGTCTCCTAAATAAGGCCTTCTTTGACCTTTTTGGGTTAATACATGGCCTATTTGCACCTTTTTTCTAAAAGTTTTCTATTCGAATTAGTGGGTAGCGGCGCACTATACGTGAGTTTACATGTAAGTAGCTCTTGAAATTCAAATCGGCATCTTATTACCTTCTGAGGTTGCCTCTGTTTTTACAATATTAACCTTTCCGTCCACTTATTTGATTTTGGCGAGTGTATAGTTTCTATACAGCACTATGCGCCGCACCATATTTGTGTGCAATCATCCCGTCTCTTATTCTAACGTCATTGTCTCTCATTTTACACAATAAGGTGTCTTCTTATTATAATCCAAACCCCTATATATATAGGACAATGTTCAAGTATGGTAGCCTTAATAATTGTAATTCTTAGGCCACTTTCATTTGAGGTGCTTCCGGATCGAATTTTTTGATGAAATTTTTTGAGCATGTTCTCCATGAATTGTAGATTATGTCCACCAAACTTCACAAAAAAATAAAATCGGGAAGTCGGTTAAATAGATTATTGAAAACAAACTGCATTTTATATATATAAAAACCTGCGCAATTTTGAAAAAAATATTTAACCGACTTTCCGATTGAATTTTAATCTTAAATTTGGTGGGCATAGTGTACACTTCATGGAGAAGATACTCACAAATTTCATCAAAAAAATCGACCTGAAAGCACCTCAAATGAAAGAGGCCTAAGTATTACTCCCTCCGTCCCAAAATTATTGTCCCGTTTGGTTTTTCACATAGATTAAGAAAATGACACTGTAGCGACACTGATTCGCACTGTAGCGACACTGTTTGGCACTGTAGCAACACTATTTAACACTGTTTGACAATGTTTGGTGTAGATTTGTTTACCAAATAAAGAAGGTAAAGAAACGAGACAATTATTTCGGGACAGACCGAAAAGGAAAGCGGGACAATAATTTTGGGACGGAGGGAGTACATTCTTAGGCCTACCTTACTTGAACATTTTCCTCCTGTGTGTGTGTGTGTGTGTATGTATGTATGTATGTATGTATGTATATGTAAATATGCACATACAAGTGTGTGTGTCTATATATGTGTCCACATACATAGATACGTACTTATAGGTGTATGAATGTGTCTATACGTACATACATGATACACCACATATATGGGCTCAAAAGTTTGAAGTACTTCGTATAATGTTATAAAAGAATTTGTTAGGTAAGTGTATGATCGAATTTCGTCAGATAATGTGATTGTTGTGGATTCTCTCAACGAAAAGAGTATGATTTGTAAAGATTGTTTTCATTAATGTCACATATATTGCTTAGAGGGAATTGAATATTTATCTCAGATTTTATTTTGTCCAAGTGGATGTTGGGCACCCATCAAAGCCTTATTTTCTTGATCCGGATACAGGGAGTGACCTTACCTGGCTTCAATGCGATGCTCCATGTGTCCATTGTACAAGGGTATAACATAACTGTCTTATTACATTTCTACAACATGATATAGATATACTCATATACCTCATATTTGCTTTTCCTAATGAGTAAACTATTTCAATCCTTCAAATCCCAGGCACATCACCCTTTCTACAAGCCCAACAATGACCTTGTGATTTGCAAGGACCCTCTTTGTGCCTCTCTGCATCCAGCTGATTATAAATGTGACACTCTAGAGCAATGCGATTATGAGGTCGAGTATGCTGATGGAGGTTCATCTCTCGGTGTCTTGCTCAATGATGTCTTTTCTTTTAATCTTACCAGTGGGGTTGCGGTTAAACCTCATCTGGCTCTCGGGTCAGTATCTTCCTTGATCTCATGAAGCCCGCGAGTTTTAGATTTAGACATATTTAGGTGTTTTTATGCTTCCAATTTGAACCAGGTGCGGATATGATCAGATACATGGTCCATCTCGCCATCCTTCAGATGGGGTACTTGGCCTTGGAAAAGGAAAAACCGGCATTCTCTCACAGCTGAAGAACCTTGGTCTGGTGAGAAACGTGGTTGGCCACTGCCTGAGTTCACGAGGTGGAGGGTATCTCTTCCTTGGGGATGATGTTTATGATGCCTCTCGCGTCACTTGGACACCAATGTCACATGATATCACGTAATGTGCACTTCTCATATGCAAAGTTGAAAACACCCCAACCCCATCCTAAGTAAAGCAATGAAAAGCAAAATGGTGAGTTTTGAGTCTAAATATGTGAAGGTAAAAATGACAGGAATCACTATGCTCCAGGGCCTGCAGAACTACTTTTTGGCAGTAAAAGTACCGGAGTAAAGAATCTTCATGTGGTGTTTGATAGCGGGAGCTCTTTTAGCTATTTGAATACGCAACCGTACGAAGCTTTACTATATTTAGTAAGTTGTGATCTTCGTTCTTCCTCCAGAGCTTCTCCTTTTTCATTTCATGACCATGGGTGGTACCATTTGTTCTCGTAGCTGGAGAAAGAACTGAGAGGTAAGCCCCTAAAAGAAGCAGATGATGACCCAACGCTACCCTTATGCTGGAAGGGAAGGAAGCCTTTCATGAGCATCAGCGAAGTGAAGAAATACTTCAAGTCCTTCTCACTCAGCTTTGCTGGTGGATGGAAATCCAAAACTCTGTTTGAGATCCCCCCTGACTCATATCTTATCATCTCAGTAAGTGCTTGTAATTAACACTCTCTTAGGGCTTGTCTGGTTCTGGGATTTCAGAGGGGATGGAAGGGGAGGAGGGGTATTATATTTCTTAATCAAATTAGTATTATCTCTACATTTAGATGGTTGGCCATAAACTGAAGTTAAAAAATTATATAGACACACATGAGCAGTTGGTAAAAATCAAATCAAATCATCCCCTTCCATTCCCTCTGAAATCCCAAACCAAACGAGCGAATAAATCTTATCCTCTTACTTGTATGGTGTTGTGGCAGTCAAAGGGCAATGTTTGCATGGGAGTTCTGAACGGCACCGAAGCAGGACTGCAAAATTTCAACATTATCGGAGGTATGAGTTTTCAACTATTCAATTTCTTGGATGATGCAGAATGAAACATTGATTAGTTAATAAAAAGCTGAATCCTTGCTTTGGATGATCACATTTTTTCATTTTATTGCAGATGTGTCTATGCAAGATAGACTAGTGATTTTTGACAATGAGAAGAGTGCAATAGGATGGACTCGTGCAAATTGCGATCGCCCCCCAGTGTCCAACATTGTTTTCATCTAAATCTGGAGGATTTTTAATCTTCTCACTTGTAATAATAGCCTATTTGAAAATGGTCAAATAAGCTCTCGAGCTATTTTATTTAATGCCATTGAGACCACCAAATTTCAAACCTTCAATGAAAAAATGAACCAAAAAATTATGTAATCGATTTTTACCAAAATACATAGATACGTACTTATATGTGTATGAGTGTGTCTATACGTACATACATGATATACCACATATATAGGCCCAAGAGTCTGAAGTATAATGTTATAAAAGAATTTGTTAGGTAAGTGTATGAAATTCTTCAGATAATTTGATTGTTATGGATTCTCTCAATGAAAAGAGTATGATTTGCAAAGATTGTTTTCATTAATGTCACATATATTGCTTAGAGGGAATTGAACATTTATCTCTCAGATTTTATTTTGTCCAAGTGGATGTTGGGAACCCATCAAAGCCTTATTTTCTTGATCCAGATACGGGAAGTGACCTTACCTGGCTTCAATCTGATGTTTCCTGTGTCCATTGTACAAGGGTATAACATAACTGTCTTATTATATTTCTACAACATGATATAGATATACTCATATACCTCATATTTGCTTTTCCTAATGAGTAAACTATTTCAATCCTTCAAATCCCAGGCACATCACCCTTTCTACAAGCCCAACAATGACCTTATGATTTGCAAGGACCCCTTTTGTGCCTCTCTGCATCCAGCTGATTATAAATGTGACACTCTAGAGCAATGCGATTATGAGGTTGAGTATGTTGATGGAGGTTCATTTCTCGGTGTCTTGCTCAATGATGTCTTTTCTCTTAATCTTACCAGTGGGGTTGTGGTTAAACTTCATCTGGCTCTCGGGTCAGTATCTTCCTTGATCTCATGAAGCCCGCGAGTTTTAGATTTAGACATATTTAGGTGTTTTCATGCTTCCTATTTGAGCCAAGTGCGGATATGATCAGATACACGGTCCATCTCGCCATCCTTCAGATGGGGTACTTGGCTTTGGAAAAGGAAGAACCGGCATTCTCTCACAGCTAAAGAACCTTGGTCTGGTGAGAAACGTGGTTGGCCACTGCTTGAGTTCACGAGGTGTAGGGTATCTCTTCCTTGGGGATGATGTTTATGATGCCTCTCGCGTCTCTTGGACACCAATGTCACATGATATCACGTAATGTGGACTTCTCATAGGCATAGTTGAAAACACCCCCACCCCATCCTAAGTAAAGCAATGAAAAGCAAAATGGTGAGTTTTGAGTCTAAATATGTGAAGGTATGAGTTTTCAACTATTCAATTTCTTGGATGATACAGAATGAAACACTAATTAGTTAATTAAAAAGCTGAATCATTGCTTTGGATTATCACATTTTTTCATTTATTGCAGATGTGTCTATGCAAGATAGACTAGTGATTTTTGGTAATGAGAAGAGTGCAATAGGATGGACTCGTGCAAATTGCGATCGCCCCCCAGTGTCCAACATTGTTTTCATCTAAATCTGGAGGAGTTTTAATCTTCTCATTCGTAATAATAGCCTATTGGAAAATGGTCAAATAAGCTCTCGAGCTATTTGATTTAATGCCATTGAGACCACCAAATTACAAACCTTCACTGAAAAAATGAACCAAAAAATTATGTAATCGATTTTTACCAAAATACATAGATACATACTTATATGTGTATGTGTGTCTATACGTACATACATGATATACCACATATATAGGACCAAGAGTCTGAAGTATAATCTTATAAAAGAATTTGTTAGGTAAGTGTATGAATTTCGTCAGATAATGTGATTGTTGTGGATTCTCTCAATGAAAAGAGTATGATTTGCAAAGATTGTTTTCATTAATGTCACATATATTGCTTAGAGGGAATTGAATATTTATCTCTCAGGTTTTATTTTGTCCAAGTGGATGTTGGGCACCCATCAATCTTTTACGTAGTATTTGCTAAGGGGGATAATAACCCTTGAGAGTATCATTAAGGCACATGAGATTATCAAGAAAGGTTACTATTGGAGGGATGGAAATGGTTCGGCGATTAACATTTGGACCGAGTCCTGACAAAAAATCATCATAAACTTCTTGTATCAGCTCCTTTTTTGGGTTTGGAGTAAGCATGGGTCCAGAATCTTTTGAATGAGGATGGAAAGGGATGGGATACTGATCTTCTACGAGATGTCCTAAAGCAGCGTGATGTCGACGATTTGATAAAAGGGATCCATCCCAATTAGCGTTAGATCTGTGCCCGACAAACTAAGTTGGCAGTGGGAGAGTTCGGGAAAGTTCTTTGTTCGTAGTTGTTATAGAGCCCTGGTTGGTGAATCTGTGGCTGGACTCATGTGTGGGGGTGGAACGAAGTTACCACCCAAGGTTGCAAAGGAGGCTGCATGGGAGGCGATTAGGTGGTATTGGACAGGTTCTCCGGCGCGGTCATTCATGGAATAAGTCCAGGCTGAATTTGGAGCTAGCTAAGGAGGAGGATGAGTTGTGTAGGCTTATTTGGGGTTGCTGGGGACTTTGGTGTGAAGTGTGAACGAAATAACAGGAATTGGAATGGTGTACGTGCAGACTGATGATCCGAAACAGGTGCTGCGCCGTATGTTGATGGCTGGTGTATGGCGCAGCAGCGAGATGGGAGCGGAAATGGAAATCAAGGAATGGCAATCGTTTGAGCTTGGAGAAGACCTTCTTCGGGCAGGATAAAAACGAAATGTGGATGTGGTCGTGAGGGATAGACTTTGTGGACTGGGATGGCTTATACTGGGAACTTCTTAGCAGGTGTTTCAAATGGGGGATTTTGTCTCCGCTAGAAGCCGAACTGATCAGGTGTGAAAATATAGGATTGGATTATGTGGATGTGGAGTCGGATTCTATTGGGGCTATTTCGGAGATATTGCAGAAGAGGAGTATTTCTTATTGGTGGTGATATTAGAGAGATTAATTCGAGCTTTCTATATCTCTTTTTCTCATATTAGTTTGCTAAGGCGGCTTGTTCTACATTTGATTGTTTGAGCTGCGATGTTTATCCTCCTTTTATTCTTCATGTACTGAATACTGATTTATTGAATGAAAGTTAAATTTTTCTCTTCAATTTTTTTAAATACAATAAAAATAATACTTACTGTATTATGTAATACTTTTAAAACCATAGATAATAAGCGCCTCTGCTAACGGAGTGAAGCCCTAGCCGCCGCGCGTAAGATGCTTGGACGGATGCTTGCCGATCACGATCGCTGATGCTCGCCGGTCTCTGCTCGTTTTATTCCCTTTGCCTAAATTCTTAATTAAGGTAACAACGGCCATTGTCCCTCTAGTTAGGGTTTTAGTTCTGCCGCCGATTTAATAGATTGGGCGGTTTTTCGATTCGGGGTTTTCTTCCGCGATGAGTTTTTTTTTGTGCGAACAAGGAACAAAGACAACAATAGTGAAAGGATGACATCATCGAGTAAGGGTCATGGGCGAAGCTTGGGGTTAAAAGCTGGAACAGATCTGGATTCAAGGTCTTCTGCAATTGGTGGCGAAAGTGGAGGCTTGACAGAGATCGTGATGAATAAAAGGAAGAGTGAGGAAGAAGCTATAGTATTGTCGTCTCGTCCTCCTCCTGAACCGCCGCCGGAGTATCAGAAGTAGATAGGAGGTTCCGATATGTGTTTGGAAGTGGTGCTCTGGAAGTAGGAGCAAGAGTTTTTTTTTTTTTTTGCTATTTAATTTCTTTTACTATAATTTCTTTATTTTGTTCTGTTGTAAGACTGTGTATTTCGATGGGGGTGATGGAATGATTGTGATAATCGTCTTTGGCTCAGTTGCGCCCATTAATGGATCAGCGATTTATATTGCTTCTGTTGAGGTGATAAACTCTGAGTCTGGTTCGAGGGTCGGCAGTTGTCAGGAATCTTTTGTCGGTTTACCTACTATCTGAATGATGTGTTATCAATTTGAGCCGATTTCTTCCAAAAAAAACCATAGATAATAATAATTATTACTACCCCCGTCCCACTAAGACTGGGACAAGAGAAGGTGGCACGATTATTAAGAAAAATGGGTTTGTGTGGTTGAGACGAAATTGATAAAGTAAAAATAAAGTAAGAATGATTTAGAACCACACAAACTTTACCAAATTTGGTATGAGACCATCTTGGTTGGATTTCCCGTAAAGGTAAAATGAGACAATCTTAGAGAGACGGAGGGAGTATTATTAGCATGGGATTATATGAAATGTCCTATTTTAAAATAAGTAAAATAATTACATGGATATATATGCTAGGGTTCTATAATTTTTTATAGAACCATACAATCTTTGAGATAATATGGATATACAGTATCATATATGCTATTGTATGAAGTATGAACATTACACAATCTTGGAGGCGGCAGCTATTGCTTTGTTTCTCAAGATTAACTAGATTTCTGACCCGTGCGTTGCACGGGATGCAATCAATACGTTATGAATAATTTAAAAGAAAAAAATATAGTAAAAATAAAATATCACAATGATATGTTTTATTAGAAAAGAAAATGAATATTAAAAGTAGAAATATATACACCTCTTTGTAAACAACATTTAAAGTCCTTTTGGATGGTTTTGCGTTATCATCACATAAGAACTTCAATCCAGAGGGATGCATTAATAATGATACTGTGACGTAAAACTACTGATGAGTGAAGAATGGACCACGTAAAAAAGCACCAACTTTCTCCGAAGACTGTCCATCGCGTAACTAAGCATTAATGGAAGTTGACTATGCTAGAATGTGAACGGCAACTTAGAATGTGTACAGCTATATAAGTTAAAACAACATTAATAACTATAATAATTTTTTTGTTTCTTTTTTTTGTTTTTTTTTTGTTTATGTTTTTTTATATTCCCTCCGTCCCGCTAGACCTTGTCAACTTTCCTTTTTTGTTTGTCCCAAAAAACTTTGTCACTTTCCTTTTAAATCAATAAATTTGTTGTTCTGTTCATTTCTTTCTCCTCTGCACAAACCTCAACTACACAATATTTTTACTATTCTAATTTCTTACCAAACATCAACATGACAAAGTTGAGTGGGACGGAGGTAATATAATAAAGTGAATAATTCATTGAGAACATAATTTCCTTTTAAAAAAATCATTGAGAACCTAATTTAAAAAAGAGATGTATTGTTTTGAACCCGGTAGGTAAACCACCAAAGTCAATGTGGGTAGGAGTCTAGAAACACCTACCAAATAGGAAAAATTGACAAGAATAATCTCACCTTTCACTGGTCTTCTCATAATAATTCCACCTTTACATAATCCCAAAATAATCCCACCTTTGCACCCCATCTTCTTTCATTGGACCCTGACCAGATTTTTTACCTTTCTTTGCAAATCTTATATAAATAATCTCACATTTATAAAGATATAATAAGAAAGTGAAAGGTGAGATTATTTATATGATTTTCAAAGAACGAGTAAAAAACTTGGTCAGGATTCAATGAAAGAAGATGGGGTGCAAAGGTGGGATTGTTTGGGGATTATGTATAGGTGAGATTATTTTGAGAAGACCAGTGAAAGATGGGATTATTCTTGTCAATTTTTCCTACCAAATATCATTAAATCCAAAAAGCGATTACAAATGAGAGGGGCATAAACCAAAACCTTTCTAATGGAAAAATACCTCCAACATTACATGAAGAAGCATATATACTATATATGCAACCAATAACGAAAATAGACAAAGGATTACTTTAAAGTTTAGACTAAAGAGCAGTAAAAATGTTGTTAATAAATGTGTGGAACATCTTTAGCATCACGCCGAATAACCCCATGAACATCCCGTGGCAGCTCACTCAACATTAAAAAAAAGCCTCGAGCATGCAAGGAACATGTTTAGCCAAAAGAACCGCCACACGGTTGATGCAGTTGTGAACCAATCTGGTCGTACAAACATGCACATCCCATGCCCTTCTCATCCTCCTTGCTCATATGTCTCTGATTTTCAATATAATTTTTTTTTCACTAGTGCATTTGATATTTCAATCTCCACATTTTCATGTCCCTCTATAGAGTACACCAATAATGAATAACTTGTTTGACATAAGTGAATTGAGTGTTAATAGCTGAACCACTCAATGGGTAATCCCACAGCCGCCACTATTGAACCTGAACAATCTCTAAGAATAAAACCGGATGACGACTTCCCATATTGTCGCCAAACAGCTCAGTTAAGTTTCAGATGACCTGGACTCGGTTTATCCTAGTAAGCCACCTCTGGTTTGTTCACTATTGATCGAACATTACACAAACATCATCCATGATGTCACTTTAATTTCTTTTTTTCTTTCTTAATTTCTTTAATACAAACATTGAAACATGTATTAATACTACCTTTATTTTATGCTAAAAAAAATGTATTCTACCCGTGGAGAATAAAATTTGCAAATTAAGGAGAAATTTACTAATATAAACTTTTGAGATATAATTTACGGATAAAAATTTTATAGTCTACAAAAAATATACTATGTATGTGTGAATGATACCTACAATTTGGGAACTCCTTATTCACAACTCCATGATTGATCATCACATTTTTTTAAATTTGAGATTTTTTTGAAATTTTATTGCGGTGTATAACTATTTATTTTTATTTTAGGAAATAATCAACACTTTTAAATCACAATTTATCATTAGATATTAGAAATAACACATCTAACATCACAATTATCATCAATAACATCATTATATTACATAGTAATACATGAATTATCTTGTGTAATTATTGTTTAAATAATTGTGATTTTTCAATAGAAACTTAAAGCTGGGACGGAGGTAGTACTAAATTAGATATTTACATGTGAGGAATAAATGTAATATTGACCAATCATTGTAATTATGTTTAAAAAAACAAATTTATATTCAATATTTCCCAACCACACATATTAGAAAAATTGAAATGTGAACACTATTAATCTCAGCTCGTTGCTATGGTACAAAAACAATATCAACTTATTTTTTGCAAGAAACAATTTCATCTTATTGAACTAATTTTTTGAACTTCTTGAAAATATTTTGTTATAAAAATAGTATAGATATGTAGTATAAGGTCTATTCAGTTGAATTTGGATAGATTTTATTTGTGATTATGTGTTAGCAGATAAAATCATTTATTTATGTGTATGACCTTTTAATTAGTGTATTTTCAATGTTAGATCATATCAAATGCAAATATTCCAAAATATATGGCATTTAAATAGAATACATCAGACCGGGGGCGGTTCCGGTGCAAACCATGCTTCCGGTGCCAACATACAAACCAATACCATCCCTAGGATTTGAAATAACAGACGGCTAATGAAATATGGGATCCATTACTAAAACGGTGCAGACACCCGCATGAGATAAATCGTTTTTTAGTTTTAGACATTTGAAAGGTCACAATGGTAATTGAAAAGTAGAAGTGGCCGGCAAGTATGCTTATTTATGGAAATAATTTAATAACTAAATCTCATGATTAAACAAATGAGCACCATACGGAAGGCAATCCCAAAATTTTAGCTAACCCCCCACTAAAATTTCACACCCATGTTTAGCAAATTAAAAAAAGGAAAGATGCAAGGATTAACGTTAGAGCATCTTCAATGGTACAATGTGCACGGTGCACACGTGGCATGAGAGATGACCACATAAATATTAGTAAATAAATTATTTCTCTCCTTTTTTGAATGATTTTATACACTTTTGGTAAGTTTTTCTCCACAATGTCAAGGAGACCGTCTAATGTTGACATTGTTGTTGACATTGCAGGGAAAAACTTACCAAAATTGTATAAAATCATTCAAATAAAGAGAGAAATAATTTATTTGCTAATAATTATGTGGCTATCACTCATGCCACATGTGCACCGTGGACATTATAGCATTGGAGATGCTCTTAGAATTTTTAGACATCAACGAAACTTGCAATAACAATCCAATTATTCTTTATTTTGGGAATATTCACTTGTCACTTTTAAAAATTGTTCAAAATTTCACCAAAAAGTAAATAGACAATTAAATATGGGTGAATAATTCAATTCTTAATTAACCTTTTATTTTTTAAACTTAAAATATTGATGTTATGAAAATTGCATTATATATTGATAACATGTGCATAGTTTATATTAGACCTTCTAACATATTAAATTTGTAAGAACTTAACACATGTAAGAAATGTCTGCATATTAAAGTTACATAATGTGCATAATATTATGGATGTGCATATTATGGTTACGAGATATGCATTATATATTTATAATATTTTCATAACTTATATTAGAACTATATAGGCATAAATATGTCAACGTTGCATTATAGTTCATATCTTGCATTTTATCATTATAACTAGTTTTTATCACGCGCAATGCGCGAAGAAGTAAATGCCCAATGGGATTTATTGTTCAAATAATTTGCATAAATTATCTAATTGTTATGTACATGCATAAATTATAAATATAATTCGCTCACGGAAAAAGAAAAAGGGGAAAAACAAAGTGATGGAGTATATGGCCATACTACTCCTACACAGGCCCACCAAGCCCGATGAGCATGTGAAGCCCAAACATAGCGGCCCAAGTATCAAGAAGCCCGTGATACACATGTAAGCGCCTTTGGCCTCCATGGCCGAGGGCTCCACATTCCACAAGGCAGCTGATTTTGAGCACACAAAGCTACTGTGAGAAAATGGCGAGAAAAGAGCCTTCGGCTCCTAGGCGCCCTCGGCACATGGATAGCCCTTGGCCACAGAATTGACCTTCAGCTACATCACACTCA